TGGCTTTCCAGCAAAGTGCTTCATGATGCCAGCAGCTATGGTTCAAACAAGCCCATGTGGGCAGTATACCTTGATATCAATGTGGAGCTTATTTCCCAGGCACAAAGAATTCAAGAGTTATGGGGTCCTGGCACCTCCAATAAAACTTTAAAGGAAAGCCTAAAAGGCCAGCCAGAGTTTGCTGTGGAGTCAAAGAGTCTGCAGAGAAGCTCCAATGGGATGATGCTTGGTGAAGCTGTGGGAACGGAGCTGCAGCAGGGGTCCCAGAAAGGCAGAGAACACAGCAATATGCCATATCCACTCAAAAAAGCCACCAAGCATGAAGCAGAAAGAAGTCATATGGGTGGCAATCAATAAAACCATATATGCAGATGCCATACTTGGAGCTTTAGGATTTAATGTCTGCCCTGCTAAGTTTTAGTCCTGCTTTGGACTAATTACTCTTTTCCACCTATCCACTCCTCCCTTTTAAAATGGGAATGTTTATCCTATCCCTGTCCCATCACTGTAGCTTAGAAACACACCATTTAAAAAAAAAATTTTTTTTATTTATTTGAAAGGCATAGTTACAGAGAGACAGAGGCAGAGACAGAAAGAGAGGTCTTCCATCTTCACTCCCCAGATGGCTGCAGTGGCCAGAGATGTGCCGATCCAAAGCCAGGAGCCAGGAGCCTCCTCCTGGTCTCCCACATGGGTGCGGAGCCCAAGCACTTGGGCCATCCCCCACTGCTCTTCCAGGCTGTAGCCGGGACTTGAACCAGTGCCCGTATGGGATGCTGGGACTGCAGACAGCGGCTTTCCCTGCTTACACCACAGCATGGGCCTCACCATTTGTTTTTATTTTCTTTTTATTTTACAGGGACTAACAGCTGAAAGAATTTATACTGTTTAAGTATAATTTAGACTTGAACTTCTGAGTGATGTTAGAACCAGTTAAGATTTTTGGACTACTGAGGATGGGATGAATATATATCACATTGTGAGAAGGATATGAAGCTTGGAGTCCAGGGATAGAAGGCTATGGTTTGGATGTGGTTTCAGTATGACTCACAAGAATCTATGTTTTAGAAGCTTGGTCCCCAAGGTAGCAGTATTGAGAGATGGTGAGACAAGGTCTCACAGGAGGTCCTTAGGCCAATAGTGGTATGCTTCCAGAAAGGACTGTGGGGCCCTGGTCACTCTGGCTTCCTGTTTTGTAACACGATCCTTCATTCGTACATGTACTCCTGCCATGATATGACACAGCCAAGAAGGCCCCTACCCGCAGTGAAACCAATGAGGTTGTCCACTGTTAGATTTTGAACCTCTAGAAATACAAGCTAAATACACCTCTTTTCTTCAGAAAGTTAATTTGCCTCAGATGTTTCATCACAGTAATAACAAGTGGACTAAAACACCTAATCTACTATCATCTATACTAAAGAAACACAGGGCTAATGCCCTTAAGGAATAGCTCCTGTTCAGTATGGTGGTAGAAGAGGACACAAATGAATCACAGACACTATCAAAAAGTATCTCCAAGTCTTGATTAAGCCTAAAATGTTCATCGTGGGTCCCAGTGATGGACAGCTTTGGATAGAAGTCTCCACTGATTACCCAACTGTCAAATTCAAAGATCTTTCTTAAACCACAGAGAACAGCAGTTATTTCTTCATGAGAAAACTATATGTAATTTTCTTATTTCTTCTGCTTTTCTAGATTCCACATTATGAAAATCACTAATATATATCTTTAAGACCTATTTTCAGTTCAAATGCTTATTTTTTGATAGTGACCAACAATGATAATCATGTTAATCAATCACACCTTAACCTACCCACCCACTTACCTTACTAACTGCTCCTTCTTTGTCTCTTTTACCCATTATTCTTTATCACTTACTCTCTAACTATGGGTAATTCCCAAGACTCAATCTCAGGTCCATCACTCTTCTCTGTGAGCACTATCATGCTATTTCAACTTCTCTATCAAGTTCTAGTCATATCTTCTACTATTTCCACATGCCTATTTTACTGTAACCTCAAAGTCAACAAATCAAAAATATAGCCTCAACTGTCTAGATCCCCTCAACCATCTACTATTACTACTTACATGCCTGCCATTAATCAAATTCGTTTTTCCTTTGACACTAATTGAGTAATTTGGACATCTTTTAAAATCTCTCTGGTTCTCAAGATTTCTAATGCACAAAATGTAACATGGACTGGTACAGATATTCTGAGATGTCTTCAAGTTTCTGTCATTGAGGACCAAACTTTGAAGTCTTCTTTAATTACTCCTTTATCCTACCCTCCCTTTTCATCCAACCCATAATGAAGTCTTGTGACATCTCTCAAGTCAGAATTATTTCCACTAAGTCCAGGTCCTTATCACTTCAGGCCTAAACTATTTTCTACCTTTCTCTATCACTTCTCCAGCCGTTATGACCATCCGGGGAGTGAACCAGCAGATGAAAGCTCGCTCTCTCTCTCTCTCTCTCTCTCTCTGTCTCTCCATCTCTTTCCCTTTAACTCTGCCTTTCAAATAAGTAAATGTTCCTTTTTAAAATAAAAATAATTACAGTGACATCTCTATTGAGGAAAAACTGAGGGAAGAAACACTGTAGTCCAATAGGTTGACTTGACTTCCAATATGCTAGGCTCGAGTGGTAAAGGAGGGAAAGCAGAAATATGAGAGGCAAAAGAAATGTAAACATGTAGTATGGGTTAATATACAAGGTAAATGAAAGCAGTAGTTTAAACATAATGTCTAAACTAACACCCATATGACCAGGAGAGAAGGAAATTAAGTGGTATAAATGATGACTGTCATTTGGGACACATTGATAAATAGAAGCTGAAGACCAGTACTGAAAAAAAAAAAAAGTGACTGATTAAGAGAAATAAGAAACCGAATTAATTACAAAATAAAAGAACTGAAGTTATAAAGATATTAATAGGAGAGAAAAATATATCAAGCCATAATCCACTGTAACCAGATTTATATTTTATCAAAAAAGCCAACTAAATGTTAAGGCAGAGGCTCCCAAGCTATCTGCATTCAGGGAGCCCTTAGTGTCTTAGTAACTTTGGCAAAAAGACATATGAGGGAATCTTCAAAAAGTTCTTGGACAACGTGCGTTACCAAAAAATACGGATAGATTTTTAAAAATTTTGCATGAAAATAAAATATTTTAATTACATTTTTCCACAAACTTTTTAAAGTACCTCGATATTTCATTAGCCATGTAGCATGTCCTTACAACTTAGGGTTTGTTGGGCATGATACAACTTCTCAAATCTTGGGTTCAAACTGGACATTATCACAGTCATTTCCTGTTCCACACTGATTTGCACACAGTAGTAGGTTTTTAGCAGAGCAACCTCTGAAAATACAGCCTTATAAAGACGTGATATTGCAGTAAGGAACATCAGTATATTATGCTGAAACTGAACTACCTCAAACTAACAGTTCAAGCATGAGTTTACTGGTGCTCTGAGCACATCAGCACAGTTTGAGAAAGGGGGACTATAAAGGTCCCCCCCAAAAAAGGCGAGGAGCAAAAGAAAGTTCTTAACAGTTCACCACAAGAGGGCAGCACAATAGTAAGCAGGGGCAGTACAAAGAGGACTCAATGAAAAGAAATGAATCAAATCTTTCTTTCAAACACTGTAAGACCCTTAGTCTGCTCACCATCTAAAAGTTATTTTTCTTCTTATACAAAAGAGGAAGAAACACTGGTCTCTGGCAGATCACCTCATAGCAGAGTCATTCTGCCTTTCTCTAAATCTCCTATTGCCAGTCATGAGAGTAGCCAAGACTTGCACAGTAGTCAACAATTTACCACTTTGCATGCATGTTATTCAATCCTCACAACAACCTTCTAAGAAAAGTGAGGTTCAAAGAACTTTTAAATTATACAACTCATAAGTGGCAAGAATACCATGACTTAAATCCATATCTTACTCCAAAGCCAACACACTTTTCTATTCTGCCTCAAAATTATCCTGTCTTTCATCAACAGGAAGGTGAATAAAAAAGATACCATGTTTTCCATTCCATACCTGAGACCTCCGTTTCAAATCACTAAGGAAAAGGTGTTAAAGGAAACAAACTACATCTTAACCCGTCCTTTAAACACATTATAAACTATAAACCCAAGACATTCAGTTAGGGCAAAACCAAATATTTAAACGTGTTATAAACTACAAACTTAAGACATTCAGTTAGGGCAAAACCAAGTATTATATGCTTACCTAGCCAACAAACACAGTTTTCCTGTACAGATAAACACATGTACTATGAATACATCTAGTTTGTATGCCAACAAATAAGCTCACAGAAGCAAGTGACTCTCACATCTGCAGTGGTAAAAAGTAAGGCAGATGGGGGAAGAGAGGTCAAAAAGGTGATTATTCATCTCCCAATCTGCTGGGTGTTACATCAGAACATCTTCAGGAACCCAACAACTCACTTTCCCAAAGCTATTATGAAACCAAAAGTGATTGTCATCTCCCTTATTCCCACTTCTGGTTTCCTTCTCCACATTTCTCCGCCCCTCTATGACATACTCAGTCACTCTTATCCTTTCATTCAAAGAAAAGGAGTTTCCCCTGGCAGATGAATAACCACCGGAAAACAAACTGGGTAAATTCAACCGACACAGCAAGCGGAGGCAGATAAAACCATCCAGGAAGCATTCAATGTGGTAGCAAGAACCCCAGTAAGAACAGCTAACATGTTCTCTCAACAGCATTTCTTCCTCTTTGAAAGAATAAAGAATTTCTGGCTGCTGGAGGAGAAAGGTTAAGGGACAACATTTTATTTTCGCCTGAAAAGCCCCATTACTTGTAAAACCTACAAGGAATGTAGCAACGATCAACACCCCAAAATCCTCTCCCAAAGTAACACTGAAAGTTCAGCACTGCCATTGTCAGAGGAGTAAGCGCAGCGCCCTGCTCGTCTCACACGCTCGCAGCCTTCCTACGCACGCACTCGGCTCACGACACCCTCGCCCTCACCGAGGCGATGAAGCCCAGCAGCCAGGATCGCGAACCGTCGGAGGCGGAGGAAGGGCCTCTTTTCCTTCTGCAGAAGGCAAACAGTTCACATCTTGTTCCCGTTGCCTGCTTCTGAAACCTAAAATAATAATAATAATAATAAAGCAGTTACTACCGCAGAAACCCAGGAGAAAGAGATGCTCCTTTCTAGGCTAAGATGTCTAGAAATTTTAAGAGGGCTAGGTAAGGGGGGAGGAGTAATAAGGCAGACAGGATGCAAACAGCAACCAAGATACTCCTTTCTGGGTTTCGCCTTAACGAGAAAGATTTTCTGGTATAGAAGTTTACCGCCTCTAGCAGGGGAAAGGCGGGGATCGGGAGGAGGGAAAGGGTAGGGGAGATAACTGGTGCTCCCATCCAAAGGCCGGGCAGCGATAACACCCACCGGCTGCACGGACCAGGCGACGAGGGCGCGCCCCCAAGCTCGCAGGGGCTGCTCTTACCCGGCGTCTCAGGCTGGCCCAGGTCTGCGAAGCCCCCAGAGTGGGCACGGGTCCGAGCGCCCGCCAGGCTGGGTCCTCGGGGGCCCTCCCGTGCGGGCTCGGCTCCCACTCACATCCCTGGACGGCAGGGACCAGGCCTCTTCTTGTGCCGCGGCAGCCCTCCGCCCGACGTGCGCCGCAAGCCGGGGCCCGGGGGCCAGAGGTGCCAAGGGGGCAGAGGCGGAGGCGCGAACTCCCGAAAGAGCCGGGCGCCGGCCCAGCCAGTCAGCGCCGCGGAAGGCCGTTAGCCGCGGCCGCTGCTGCCCCCTTCTGCTCCTCTTCCTCTCTCCTTCCTGCAGCCCACACCACTCCCACTTAGGGCAGCCGGGAAGCCCGTCACGGCCGTAGTCTCCACCCTCTCCCAGGCCACACCGTCTTCTCAGCGCCGTTGGCGACACAGGCTTGGACTCTGCGTCGGCCTCAGCCTCCCAGCCGGCCTCTAGTCAGGCAGCCTGTGGGTGGCGGACTGAGGCCGCCGGCGAGCCGGGCGGGGGAGGGCGCGGGACGCGCGCCCGGGACTGCGCGTGCGCCGCCCTTCTTCCCCGCGCGCGCCGCGGGCCTGACCGGGTTGTGGCCCTCCGTGCTGTGGCCTCCCGGGGAGCCGGTGGACTCCCGTGGAGATTTTCAGGGCAGCCACTGGGCATGAGCGCGCGAGGAAATGGAGGTGGCCAAGGCCCGCTGAGCCTGGAGCCCCGCAGAGGCTCTGTGCCGGCGCTGGGCCCTCCCTAGAAGGGCGTGTGTGTGGCCGCCGCCCGCCGTGGAGGCGGCTGGGAATGAGTCAGCCGGGCCTGGAAGGCGCCCCCTGCAAGCAGCCTGGGCCCGGAGGAGGCCGGGCTGCCTCCGCACGGAGACTTTCCCCACCCGTATACCGTCATCCCCTTTCAGCTTTCGCTTCCATGTTCCGGGTATTGCAGACCTGTTCTTTCCCAGCGCGGGCCGCTGGGCCCAGGGGAAGAGGCGCCCGGGCTGCAGGAATGCGCGCCCACGCGCCATTTAGCGGCAATGAAATCCCAATGGCTTGACTCCAGCCACCACTGCTGGAAAGGAGCGAGGGTGGGATGAGGTGCTCAGCAGCCTGCAGGTTGGCAGCCAGGCCCAGCGAACCACTTCCACTTTCCCAAAGATCCTCATTCACTCAATTACTGAGCGCCTGCTAGGTACTGGACTGTAGACCCCGGAGACACTAGGTAAACAACCTGCATGTTCCTTGCTGTTCTGCCTTCTGACAGAAGACAAAATAGAAAGAAAGGTTTTAAGTGTGTAATATGCTAGATGTGCAATTGTCACCGAGAAAATACAACACAATGGAGCATTAAGTGAGGGGAGTGTGGTCTTTTACAGTGGCCAGGCACGACCTCCTAGAGTTTGCGACTTTGAGCAGAGATGGAAAGGTTGAAAATGAGCCAGTCCTGTGACACTCCTGGAAAAGTTTCAGGCTGGGGTACTAGCAAAGACATGCTGAAAAGGGAACGTGTTTGGCAAATTCAGGGACCAGGAAAGCTGTCACTGTGGCTGGAGGGCAGTGAAAGATGAGGCAGTGGCAAGAGACGAGGTTAAAGAAGTAGCCTGGAACCAGACGGCGTGGGGCCTCTCTCACTTAGTAGCCCTCCTGTCAACCTGAAGGGAGTGATGTATTTACAGGTGCTGCTTCCCCCATACACACATGATGCAGCTATTCAGGTCTCTCTTTGGGTTAAATGATTTCCTTATTAAATTCACTAAAGTCTTACATAAGGCCCATTGCAAAAGGCCTTTGAGCAGATGAATTCATGCTGACTCCTTTAAAATAAACAATCGACTGAAACTGTTGTTTTCTCCCTAAGGTGGAGGGATTTACAGAGAAATTGCATTCCTACAGCTACAGTCTTAGAGGTGAAATATGCCAGAAATTTCTTCTTTAAAAAAAAATTAGAAATAGGAGTTGTGACTCCTATTTCAGTGGCAAATCTGAAATCTGACTGGAATATGAAGACTGAAATTACCAACAGCCCTTTTCTTGCAAACAAAAACGGTCATGGAGGTAAAAGCTAGAACAAAAACTCACCCAAAGTATTGAAGCTGATCTTAAAGTCACGTTGAAAATGAAAAGCATAAGAACTGTAGAGATGGAATATTTACCTTTTGTGAGGAGAAAAAAAAATACCTGTTGTAGAAAGCCAAATAATTTAGAAATAATGCAAAAGCATCTATTATAGTAAGTGCTGTTTCTGCACTTATAGCAAAAGCCCACTACCTGCTACACCAGCATCCCATATGGGTACTGGTTCATGTCCTGGCTGCTCTACTTCCAATCCAACTCTCTGCTATGGCCTGGGAAAAGCAACAGAAAATGGCCCAAGAACTTGGGCCCCTAACATGCATGTGGGAGACCCTGATGAAGCTCCTGGCTCCGGGCTTAGGCCTGTCTCAACCCTGGCCATTGTGGCCACCTGAGAAGTGAATCAGCAATGGAAGACCTCTTTCTCTCTGTCTCTCTCCCCAAACCTCCCATCCCCCCAGCCTGGTCTATCTCTCCTTCTCTGTATGTAAATTTGACTTTCAAATAAATAAATAAATCTTTTTTAAAAGTGTTGTTTCTATTATTTTGTAATGATGTATTATTCAACTAGGCACGCTATCTGTTACTGCCCACAGCTGGCTTGCATGGAGAAGTTATTTGTAACTGGTAAACATTGATTATATTTTGTGGAGGAAGGTAGTCTTTTTATTGTTTTTCTTTGAAAGAGAGACATACAGATCTTCCATCTTCTGGTTAACTCCCCAAATGCCCACAACAGCTGGAGCTTTGCCAAGCCAAAGCCAGGAGCTAGGAACTCAATCCACATCTCCCATGTGGGTGTCAGGGACTTTAGTACTTAAACCATCACCTACTGCCTTCCAGGGTGCATTAGCAGAAAGCTGGAAATGGAAGGGGAGCTGGGTCTTGAACCCAAGCACTCTAATATGGGATATAGTTATCCCATGTGACATATTCATCACCACACTAAACACCTGTCCTTTTTTAAATGTTAGAGATTTGGGTATGGAAGACAAGGTGGATAAGGGAAATATATTATCCATAAGCCTATTAGATTAAGAAATGATCTGTCAACACAGAAAGATAAAGTAACTTTTCTAGTGTCATTCAGACAGTGAAAGCCTCTCTCCTCACTAAGATTGTAAGTCTGAGTTACCCTGAAATGTTGAGCTTCTTCCAGTCTGTGTCTTAAAGAATGTTTGAGTTCTTTATGTGATTTCTGGTAGCGACTCTCCTGGTAGAAATTTGCTCCCCAGGGCAAACACCTCAGGAAGTTTCCTCTATTCTTTGATAATGGTAAAAGACAATTTCAAGGAATTTGACCAAGTCTTTCATAACATTCATGCAATATGGAAAAACAAAAAAATGCGAGCTGCATGATAACACACTTAGATTCAGAACTGATTGTATGGTCAGACCCAAGAGAGAAAAATTAACAGGTAGTTACCAAATGTGTGTAGGGTCTGCTGTAACACTGCTTCCACCATAGTGAGGCATAGCAGCAGTGTTCCTATCACTCCCAAACGCACCTAACAAGACTTTGATCCACTAAATGTAAGATGGGCCTTGGCTTCTATATCTTTTTTAAGTTCTTAAGTACTTTTTTTTTTTTTTTTTGACAGGCAGAGTGGACAGTGAGAGAGAGACAAAGGTCTTCCTTTGCCATTGGTTCACCCTCCAATGGCCGCCGCAGCCGGCACGTTGCTGCCGGCGCATCGCACTGATCTGAAGCCAGGAGCCAGGTACTTCTGGTCTCCCACGCGGGTGCAGGGTCCAAGCACTTGGGCCACCCTCCACTGCACTCCCTGGCCACAGCAGAGAGCTGGCCTGGAAGAGGGGCAACCGGGACAGAATCCAGCGCCCCAACCGGGACTAGAACCCGGTGTGCCGGCGCCGCTAGGTGGAGGATTAGCCTATTGAGCCATGGTGCTGGCCTTAAGTACTTTTAACACAAAGACAAGGTTTAAAGTCTAGGGCCAAAGATTTCAGAACTTAAGCCTGAGACTCCATTCAGTGCAGGTTTCAATCATACTGTACACCAAATAAGTCATTTAAATTGCCTAAGCTCCCATTTTCTCATCAGTATGAGGATAATAATATCTCCCTTGAAGAGGTATTTTGAAGAAGAAATGAAAAAGTATTTTAAGACCCTTAGCACAGTTAGTAAATAATTATTATGGCTATGGAAATGCCAATTTTTTAGGTATTCCCAAGATGGGAGTTATAAGAAGTATGTTGAATCTCTTAGTAGTCCTGAAGCATTTATCACAATCAATGCATTGCACTACAAGAACTGGGTGGGCTGGAAGGATATGGGCTGAGTTGTAATGGAGACAAATCCAAAGATCTGAAATTGGAGGATTTTTAAAAGTAATTTCACTAAATGATGATATCATGAAGATACCATTCTTAAAGGTAGTATAAATGTGAGAGTAGAGATTAGGGGACTCATTAGAAGGCAAAACAAGCTCAAGCAAAAGTATGGGGATAGATCCAGGAGTTTGTTCCTTTCCAAAATAGGGAAGGTAGAAGTTTCTGAAAGCAGAAAGGTAACAGTAGCTATATAAAGAGGCTGATTTATTTCAGGCCTAATATTATAAAGCAAAAGGCAAAGGCAGAGGGTATGAATTGGGCTAATAAACAAGCAACCATTTTTTTTAAACTTCAAATATCCCAGGTATTTCAGGACCATTCATTTCAAATTTTGGTTGACTATGGCAAATAAATTTTTCAAAACCTCCTCTGCACTTCAGCATATTCCTGTCTCTACATTAATCCTCTCATCTTACCTTACAGTCAGAAAGACAAAGATGTTCCTAGTGAACAAGACTTCCTTCCCAAGAAACCAGATCAGTTACACATTCCTACATGAAAGCTGAAACAGTTTTCCCCTCTACAAACTAGGAATTAATCATTTCTTTCAAATGAAAATAATTGTATGGAAAACCATGCAAAATGTTAATTACAACTGTGTCCTACTTTTAAAAAGATTTTTAAAATTAAAACCATGGGAAGGGGGCCAGCGCTATGGCATACTGGGTAAAGCTGCCTCCTGCAATGCCGGCATCCTGTATGGGTGCCGGTCTAGTCCCGGCTGCTCCACTTCCAATCCAGCTCTCTGCTGTGGCCTGGGAGAGCAGTGGAAGATGGCCCAAGTCATTGGGCCCCTGCACCTGCATGGGAGACCCAGAAGAAGCTCCTGACTCCTGACTTCAAATCGGCCCAGCTCTGGCCTTTGTGGCCAACTGGGGAGTGAACCAGTGGATGGAAGACCTCCCTCTCTCTCTCTCTCTGCCTCTCCTTCTCTCTGTGTAACTCTGACTTTCAGATAAATAAATAAATCTTTTTTAAAAATGGGATGTATTGTTGTTTATGTACTAAAGATATTTTTCTTTGTAAAAAGATTCCCACCAAGATTCACTCTTAAAATCAGAAATTTTCCACGCGTAACTGTTAGTTTGCAGAACATTAATTCCTAAGACTTAATTTACATGAAGAGTGCTGCTTTCTTTCTCTGAAAACTGTCCTCTTCACTCACAATAGCTAGTCTCAAGTTTTGATTTATGACCCTGCCTCTCATTCCTCTTATCTGCATGACTGTGGACACCTGAGTCAAAATGAACCAGCCAGAGGCTGTCACTTGAAATGAGACTACCTATGCTCTAAATTTGTTTACTGTAGTGAGATTGTCATCTTTATTCTTGTGTGGAATTGCAGAGAA